CCAAGAGGCACAGAGGGATAGGGAATTGGGGTTGTGGTCAGCTCATAAGACTCTCTGCTGCTCCTTGCTCCTCATGTTCTTCCCCTGCTCCAGCATGTGCTTCTTCCCACAGGATACAGTCATTCACAACTTCCTCCAATGTGGGTCCTTCCCATGAGATGCAGTTCAAGGACTGCTTCAGTGTGGGTCCCTTCCTGCAGGACTGTACACTGTGGAACAGACTGTTCCAGTGTGGATCCCCACGGGGTCACAGATCCTGACAGAAAATCTACTGCATGGACTCCTTCTCCAGGCCACAGCTCCTTCCAGGAGCCTGCTCCACCATGGGGTCTCCATGGATGTGTAGCTTCCTTGAGGGCACATCCACCTGCCCTGGTGTGGAGTCCTCCATGGGTTGCAGGTGGATATCTGCTTCACTGTGGTCCTCCATGGACTGCAGGGGGACAACCTACATCGCCAGTCTTCCCTATAGGAGAACCTCTGCTACAGTGTCTGGAGCACCTCCACCCTCTCCTTCACTGATCAGTGATATATGAAAGTGGACTGCTGAATGTACACAGCTTTTCTCCTGATCTGTGTCACTGAGAGTATATGCCCTTGGATCAGTGGTCATGAGAACTTTCACATCTCCTATTATCTACTTAGTCTGCTTTTATGTCCTTGAAATAGGACATAAAATAGGTAAATTCTTCCTTTTTGTTTTCCTTGTTATGAATGGATTTTTGATACTTGTTTGCTTTAACCTTCTTTCCCTCTGAAGCACCTTCTGGGCTGAAGGAGCATCATGTTTTGGTCTTTTTTTATGAATGGAAATGGTTGAGTTTTCCTAGTCTTCCTTTATTTTTGTGGCTTGTCACTTTCTTCTCCCTAGTTATCTTAATGGTGTCATGCCATGGTTATGAACCCCAACTAGCTTTGGTAAACATTAGTGATAACGGGAGTTGAGTGGTAGCTGGAAAGTTCTTGAGTGTTGATTGTGCTTAGAACTGGATTTATATGCTTATGTTATCTGGATTTAATTCCCTGTTTTTTCTGTGTTTCAGTGTAAGGTATATTATATGAATTGCTATGTTACTTCATAAATCTTCAAGGGAAGATAAGACAATTAAGATTTCATTTTTTCTTCAGAGCTTTGGTTGGTTAGTGTTGTATTTGAGACTTCTGCCAGGTTTGTTTTTATGATTTTATGTACCTGGTAACAATTGTTGAAAATTGAATTGCAGTTTGAGCACATCTGTTCTCAGTGTTCAATTTGATATACACAAAGTTTTCTTAATACTATTTGAGTTCTTTGAGCTCAGTTCCGGTTTCTGTTGGCACCTGGTGGAGCCACAGACACATTTTTAGTTAATGACTGTGTAGTTTATGATCTAATACTAGTTTTCACGTAGTACAAAAAGTTGTTTCAGCAAAATATTCCATTTTGCCTGTTCATTTATGCTTAAAAATCCAATGAGCTAAATGGTCTTTTTGTTTTCTTGCAGTTCAACTTCGTGGGAAAGCTTTTGGGACCACGTGGCAATTCTCTAAAGCGCTTACAGGAAGAAACGCTGACAAAAATGTCTATTTTGGGAAAAGGTTCTATGAGGGACAAGACAAAGGTAAGACCCAAGTATGCTAGTGGAGTGTTTGATACCTGGAGTTTTTGTAACTTTTTCCCAAAATCTTCAGGGAGGTGAACAAACCCTGTGGCAAAAATTGGGGAGTGAATAAAAAGCACAGGATATCCTTGTATTGGCTGGATTTAGATGGAGTCTCTTTTCTCTAAGGAGTCTCTTCTTGCTATGAGTATTTTGAGGCTACTCTGAGGTGTACTTAGGTCCCTCCAAACTATAGTCCTTGGGAATGTAAGTGGAACATCACCAGTGGCATGTTCTAGATTGTACAGCTTGTGATGAATAATGCCCAAGTGAATACATCAGTGCTCTCACTTTTGAAGGAGCCTGACTTCTAGATAAATCCAACCATTTTCACATGAAATATGACATTTAATATTTAAATTTAATATCACTTAACACTTCTAGACCAAAAGAAAAATAGACAATTAAAGGAGATACAATACAACTAGAAAAAAATAAAATCACAGCTCCGAGGATGACTTGTGCAGCTCAAGCAATTGACAAATTGCAGCTGTTTCTGTGGGAAATATTTGATTATAGTAGATGTATCCATTACAAGAGGTAAAGTAGGCAGCAGAAGAGAAACTTTTAGCTTCCTAGGTCTGTGTACAAATCAGTTTCGCTCTTTACTGAAATCTGGCTAAATCTGTAGCAGATAAGTGTACATCAATGAGGAGATACTGTCACCTGTCTGGCAAGCTGCATTTTTTTAACTGGAGTGTTCCTAATGATACACATTAAAACACTGAACACTTCTTGCCTGTAGCATAGCTTGTTTTATAGGCTTCCTTTGAAATCTTCCTGTGGTTACGTAATGTGAAACTTAAAAATACTGTATGCTATAAAGACTGATAATGATATGCATATGGAAGAGTGACTTTAAGGGCTGGCTACTGAATTTCCTAAACAATATATTTTTCAGCACACTTCTCCATCAGCAAAATATAAATGTTATGTGACTTAAAGTATTTATAAAGAATTTGATCAGAGCCCATAAGTTACTTTGTTCTGTGCTAAAGAGCAACTTTTAATTCCTTCTTGAAAATGTTTTTTTATTGAATATAGCTTACATAAACATGCTTATATAAATACATTCTCTTACAGTAAAGGATTGAAGATGAGAGGGATTTTTTGAATGGGAGCTGTTATGCAATATATAATACAGATATCGCAATTTTAAGATTTCAGTGTTACAGAATTAGTTACGAAAAATTACATTGCTAGTAACTTTAAGGGGAAATATGACAAAACCAGAAAAGACACAAGAAAGCCTAAACTTGCTTTAAGCCAGGATGTTGAAGTAAGTCTCCAAATTCTGTTTTAAATGACACTGTGTGAACTTTCTCAGTTATTGTGGAATGTGTCAAACTGACATTCTTTCCTGCAGTCCGTGTTTCTATATCAAAATATGATGTATCATGGAGTAGGAAGGCCACTGAGTTTTTCTAATGGTTCTGCAGGATAAAATAAGCTTGTTTTATTAAAAGCAGAAGCTCAAGCAGAAAAGCTCACATCATAACATGAGTCTTAGAATGCTGAGGGAGAGTCTTAAAGGTTTCTATTTGAATCATTTTAACTTCTCTTGTGTCCTTTGGTAATGAAGTAATTGTTCAAATTTTTATTTTACTTTTTCTTGATTGAGATGCTAGCTAAAGCTGCTTAAGTAATTTTTAAAAATTAAGTGGCTAATAAAATTGTTATTTTGAGCTATTTTCAGAAAACTTCAACATGATTAATATTTGAGTTCAGAAACAGTAAGATCCCTGTCATTGTGTGTCTGACTGGGTTTTTAAAAGGGACAATAGAGAGGACCTAGTTGGATACTTTATATGTACCTATTTGGAATAGTCTTTCAGAAGCATCATTTCCAGAACTTATTTGAAACTGCAGAGTATGTGAGAGAAAGCACTGGTGCTACAAAGGGATTCTATCAGCTAATACCCTAAATCAGGATTCACTCATCCCTAGTTCTCTGGGGACACAGCCCAGGAAGCCAGTGACTCCATATGTGGAAAACTTAACCAAAGAAGAGAACTTAAGACATTTTTTTTCTAGTTTCATGTAGATTATCTATGTATTAATTGTTTCAACCATATCTTTTACTAAGTAGTAATATACTTTTTGCCTTGATCTTCATACATTCTTGGTTAGCATTTTGGAACTACTGTGTTAAACCTGTACAGAGAACTAGCAAATAAGAGAACCTTAATTATACAGTTTTTTCTGTATCAGAGAAGTAGCTGTTGAAGAGAAGCCCAGGATTGATTTACTCCTTGTCAACATGTTGCTGCTCAGAAAGGCTGGCAAATTCTCCCATGTGACCAATTTTTGCATTGCTTGGAAAATCTAGTTGAAACTTCAGTGTGTTAATGACAAATAATTAATACATCACTCTTGAAATCATAGAACGGTTTGGGTTGGAAGAAACCCTTAGAGGTCATCTAGTCCAACCCCCCTGCAGTAAGCAGGGACATCTTCAACTAGATCAGGTTGCTCAGAGCCCTGTCCAACCTGACCTTGAATGTTTCCAGGGATGGGGCTTCTACCACCTCTTTGTGCAACCTGGGCCAGTGTTTCACCACCCTCAATGTAAAAATTTTCTTCCTTGTATGTAGTTTGAATCTACCCTCTTTTAGTTGATGGTGATTTGAGAGACATTGGGTTTAAAAAAAAAAAAAAATAGAAGTGGCTGCCTTGTTGTTTCCTAGCTCCTTTGTTACATCTGGTTTGCTTTCATCCCTTTAGCAGCTTTCAGATCTCCATTGCAGTAGAGGAAAATGTTCCCTGTTTTGTCCAGCCAAGCAGCATCTGCCTGCACTGGGCAAGTCTAGCCAGTGTTTGTGCTGTCAAGTAATGGAAGGCAGAGGATTTTGTGGGAGCTAAAAATACTGTCAGTGATGGATGCTGGAATGGGAACAAGCTGTGACTTCTGTGTTGGTCATCATGGAGAATAAAAAAAAATCCTGAAATGCTTAATATTTGCCCAAGGTTGGGAGATGTAGGCCAGTGAGTGAGCTCATTCTCATTTGTGTGCTGCTAAGAGCTGTGGAGTGTATTGTGTTGCCAAGCCATGTTACAGGATTGGGGGGGGGAATCAAAGTGAACTTTGCAAGTGAAGCAAGAAAAAAGGATAAAGTTACTTTAAAAGCTTACTTATGGCAATGTTTTAGAACAACCTGCACTGAAATTTCTTATGATTTGTTAAAATTGCTGATTGAAATTCTTTTTTACTAGTCACTGCACATGAAATTGTTTTGTTTCTATTGCTTATTGCTATTACCAGGCTAGTTGATTGATAACCACAGAAATGAGTTTAGTTAATTCTTAATTCTCTGCACTTCTAACTGCACAGTGATTTTTTTTCCCTTTTTAAAAAAGGGAGAGGATGCCTGAAAGCATATATATACTAAAAACCAAAGTATATGGGAACCTCCACTGATAAAAACATCTAGTTTCCTGTGCTAGATGATGGTTCATATGTCTTGAGTAACTGTGCTGAAGTACTTAAGTGAGAAATGGTTCCTATTAAAACTAAATGTTTGAGCTGTAATGTTTACATTAGTTTACTTCCTATTTCTAAGAGCTGTTATTTGTATTGACAAGATAATGGTTTTGCTGGCAAAGTCTAGTCCTGCTGACTCTGGCCTCTTAATATTCCTG